AATCTTCATCTTCTATTTCATCTGAGATTCCACCTTGGTTCGATAATTCATTGACTAATGCTATTAACTGGCTTAAAAAACACAACCCCTATATAAATTAGTATTCACAAATGATTTTACTGCTTTCGAATACAAATCTTCGACTTCCTGTAGCTACCTATTCAATAATTGATGAAAATATTTCTCCATTTCAAAGAGGTGATATAGTAGTTCCACACCAAAATTTTCCTACCAAAGTTCATGATGAAGATGCGAATTATCGTCACCTAATAGCAGAATTCATAACAAATGATGATATAAACAAAATCCCTATTGCATTAAATAATCCACACCTTGAGCCATTACTCTTTCCGGATCTATATTCTGATGGCCATGGGCATTATTATGAAATGCGAAATCAACTCAAAAATATACGATGACGTCATGATACTTTTGGTAAATATATAAAACACCATCTACTTTCTAGAGATCCCCGATTTCATTTACACCATTACTGGCCAGCATGGGCATACTTACAATTAGAAAAATTTAGAAACTTTCAAAATACTCAACGGTTAATTTGACAATTAGTTGTTGATGAAACCCACCATCCACCCACCACCATAGAAATCATCGAATGCAGCACCTACACAAATGGCTAGTGATATAATGAAGAAAAGACAACACCAATTCCCACATTTATTCGTACAGAAGATAGTTATTTTCAAGAAAAAAATAAACATCTAAACACAATGATTCATGAAATTGGCCTCCTAACATTGTTCATAATATTGTCAATAGCTGAAGGCTCATGGACCCATCTTCATAATATACTTATCAACACAGACAACCATGACCTATTACCAACAAATAGACCATTACATACAACTCTACATTTTGTTTACAGACTTCAAAATATTAAAAAGTCTGTTTAGAAAAATCCAGAAATCAGCGAATGGGGAACTTACTCTTATTTTTTTGACAGGATAGAATTTCAAAATCATGGAACAGCACACCTTCATGGTGTCTACTGGACAACAACAAGCATATTGGAAATGATTAACCTAAATACCATATGATCCACTCTTCCTGATCCCAATTTAGAACCTGAACTCTATCAAAGAGTTCTTACCTTTCAAACACATACTTGTAACTTTACATGCAGAGGACTAGTATCACCAGGATTGGCATATAAAAAAGGATTTCCACACCCACTCTCTGAAACTACATTTTACGATCCAAATAATTACAAATATATCTATCGATGTCTAACATCAGAAAACCAATGGATAATACCATATCACGCACCTACACTCATATTATGGAACGCTCATATGAACATCCAATATATCACAAATAAAGGACTTGTCCATTATATAACAAAATATATTAGTAAATCGGAACCAACTCACCTTTTCAATATACAAGAACAATCACACTATCGTGAATTTATTTATGCACAACGAATGGGTTCAATGGAACTTATATTTTTATTACTCGGAGAATGTATTATAAATTTATTGATACAAGTACAATACTTAACAACAGATCCTCCAAATATTCATTCCAAAGCAGTTATCCTACTATATATGATCGATTCACTTGATAATGATCCCTATTGGACTGATTAAATAGAAAAATATTTTGCTAGACCACACAATTCCATATTTGATAATATGACATATAAAACTTACTTCGAAACATACAATATCAAATCAATTCGACCAACCCACTTCTCTCGAACAGTCTATTAAGATGATCTTGGAAACTTTGTTGTCGAACGCACAAATCATATTTTCACTCGCATGCAATCCCTAAGGATAGACCATAGTGAATTATACTTTTATCAACAACTTCTACTAAGATTTCCATGTTGTTCCAAAAATGAAATACTAAGTAATTACCAAACTTACAGAGATCACTTCCTAACTCGATTCCTGAATATATCCCAATCAATACTTATACAAAATTATAAATTCATATTAAAACAAACAATGCATGCACTAAATCAATTCAACTCCCTCATTGAAACAATAACATCTTCTTTAGAGCCAATTCTAACAAAAAACATTATAAAGATAATAAAAATACAATTAGATTCTATAAAAATATTACCACAAATTACAATAGTTAATCCAACAATTAACCTACCACCAACACAATATTATTGTCGACAAACAATAACTAATCACTTGAGACCGAGAGACGGATCTCATTATCCCTTTTTTTTCATCACGGGCCCAGCAGGTACTGGTAAATCCTACATGATACATTTATTAATAGAATATTTCAAAACAATAGAAAAGAACTACTTGTTAATGGCTCCAACAGGAATTGCTACCCAAAATATTGGCGGTTCAACTATCCATTCTGCATTACAAATTGTCTCTAATGAATGAGGATTTCACACCCTTGCATTTCATGACAATGAATTAAATAGTTTTCTTCTTCAAATCGATACTCTTATCATCAATGAAGCCTCTATGATATCAGGTCAACTCTTAACATACATCTCTGAACTTTTCAAATCTCTACACAAAAACAACAATCCATTTGGAGGTATAAACGTCATTCTAGTCGGTGACTTGGCACAATTACCTCCGGTTTCCGGTTCCTCTATTTACCAATCTCCAATTTGGAAACTTTTTTACCCTTTATTTTTCCATAAACCTCAAAGACAAAATCAGAACATAAAATTCTTCAACCTTCTACAGAAAATCTGTATAGGTAAAATTAACGACAAAACATGACACCTATTATCACAAAAAAAAAATAATACAATTTGATCATCTGAATTAAATACTACTCTGAACACTACACACATAGTAGAATACAGAGAAAACGCTGACCTAATTAATAGACTAATATGCACTATGATTCCTACTCAAAAAGACAAATTCATGATCTCAAATTGTATTGATATAATTAACAATCAAGTATGTGATGATAACTCAAGACTTAACGATTTCAAAAACAAAACAAATTTACCTGAATTAATTAGAATCCAACCTGGTGCAAAAGTCATGTTTCTCAATAACTCACAATACCAATATCAAATAGCAAATAGCACCATAGGTGTCATTACAGATCTTGACTTAAACTCTAACCTTGTCTATGTTAGCTTCTGCGTAAAAGAAGCCATAATAAATATTTCATTTTCTAAATTTACCTGTAATTTCAACATAAACAGCATACTTGCTAGCCACACCCAATTCCCAATACAAAACACATTTGCCTTAACTGTTCATAAAACACAAGAACTCACACTTCCTGACGTATCATTAAATCTAGATGATCAAATATTTACACCCGGGCAAGCTTATGTAGCACTAAGTCAGTGTACTAAGTAGGATCAAGTAAAAATACAGTCATTAGAACATACCGCATTAATAACAGATCAATCTATGATAAAAGAATATGATCGTTTAGAACAAAAAGCCCGTGAACCACTACCATTAAACAAACCAAACTCAGATTTTTTTTAAAAAATGAACATCCATATAAACGAACCTAATTATTTCTATTTCACGTTTTTTGTAAAATAAAATAAAAATCTCTATATCTCAAAAAATTTATTTTTCTTATCAAATCTCAATAATCTTTGTACAACTGAAAAAAAAAATTTTTAAACTATATCATTATTACAACTCTAATAAAGACTAATTAAAAATTCGAAAGACATCTATATATAAAACTACTTAAATCGGGCGGCGAAGCCGCCCACATATACTACTCTAGTTAGTAATGCAAAAGAGATTATTTTAAATTTTGAGTTAGATTTATCCAATTAAAAAATATTACAATAATATATATAGTAAAATACAGTATCCCTTAATATGTAAACCAATACAAGCAAATTTGCCTGTGTTTTTGCACTTTTTTAGCTCTGAATTACTTTTTTAAAATGCCAAAATATTTAAATAAAACTTTGCACAATTATATTTGAAAATAAGGATTATTTTTTTGCAAAATTAGTTTTTATAATATAAGAAAAAAAGTTTAGATTGCTTATAAGCTAAAAATAAACAAGTTTGGAAAAATTTTTTAATCAAAAAAATTATTTATAAATTCTTAATAAACTCTTTAAATATTTTTTTTTTTTTTTATTCTTTGATAGTTTTGTTGGTGCTTCAATACAAATATTTATATAGTGAAATCTGTCTTAAAAACAAAACCTATTTCTAGTAAATATTTTTTGCAATTACGAGCCTAGCATTATCTAGCTACAGATATTGTGTCCAAATACAACTTGTTATACTAACTCACATATACATCAAGAGATCTTGTTAGCCTATTAAGAACTAATCCTTTCAATTTTTCTTTCTTTACCGAGAGCACAAGAAAGTAAAATTTTGTATTACTGATACAGAAATAATATTAAGAAGCAAAAAGAAAACTAAAACTAAAAAAAACACATAATTGAAATGAGAATCAAAAAGAAAGACAAATAGGAGAACAGAGGAATATAAAAAAAGAAAACCAAAAAGAAAAGCCTCTATGGGCTAACCAATTTACCTCTATCAAGAAATAGTTTGTGATCAAATAATAAAAATTATATAACTAATATAATTATAGTATATCTTGATTGTAAAATTTCACTTTATATAGAATCTTCCTTCTGATATACAATTAAATCCAGATGTAAATTATATAGAAGGTTCTAATCCTCTATAGGTAGTATTATATTTACTATTATGATCACCTCAAACACATAGTTGCAATCTATCTTGTACTTTTTTTCAAGAAGAGTATACAGTATACTCTTTAAATATTAATTTTAAACATATAGTTCTTAAAACAATATTATAGTTTATACAAAGGATTACAACTTTCATT